AAAACGGCTTTCGGCTCCTCCAATGTTGGTTTGTCACACGTAAACCATTGGTGCCTTGCGCATGACTTACAAAAAAGACCTAGCTCTCATCTATTAAGACAAATCCCTTAACAACTCTTGGAGGAAAGTCCTTGTAGACAATAGCTCTGCGAATGGCTATTTTTCAATATATTTGGATTTTGGTTGAAAGCATCAATAAACAAAGTCTTCCATGTGAGTAATTTCACCCACAATTCCACTCAATCCATTTTATCAAATACACACTCACACAGATCCTTCTAAAAAATACCAAAGCATGTTGCTACACTTTTGGCTCCAACTGATAAAAGTTACAGTCGTCTCGGCAACGCGGCCGCCAGTCCCCTAGAACGGCAGCATATGAAAATTCGTCGCAATGAGGTAATTATTGATGTGGCGCCGTGATCGTCGTAATGCGCAGAATTGCTGGAATAGTTTAATCATCTTTAATTCGTGACCTTGTTTCCAAACAAAACTTTGAGGTGAAGGTTGTGTGAAGATTAAGGAAGAAAAAAACATAAAATAATTTTGATGCAATTCGCTTCATTGGAGCGCAGCAACAGAACTACACAGAAACGCTGGCAGGCAACTCAGTCGACCGGCTAGGAAGTTGAATAATCCCATTGATTTGGGTCACCTTTGAATACCTATAATCACCGGTATCATCCCTAGGCCAATAAAATGGCGACAACCAGCGCAATCGATGTAGCTAGAACGGACCCGTAGCGCATGTCTTCAGAAATTTGCGAGTTTCAGTTGTAGTGCAACAAACGGCTTTCCCTTATTTTTGAGTTGACGCCCAAGCACCTAGATCACTTATTTAAAATGTCGTACCCTGACCACTCCATCGCTTCCAAGAACCACGTATTTGCTCTCCAACTCTGTTTGTTCTAGTACGTTGAAACTATCGACATAAGAGATGCCGTTCTTGTCTGTGTTCCTGACCACAAATTGTAGCTCCCAAGATTTGCATATCCTAAATACATTTTACAAATAGAAATGTTTTCTCTGCACAAAGTTAATTCATAGTGGCATTTGGTACCGAACACTAGATGAACATTGGAGACTTCTGACTTATTCTTACCGGCCATTGGGTATGTGGATACGATAAAGACGTCTCTTAAGTATGGAATAACATTCAGCTACATAGGAACCGTCAAGCAGATTGACGTCCAAACATACGGCGCGAATGACTTCACCT